TTTAAAGAAAACTTAAATTATAAAGTTAGTACTTTTTTTAAAATAATATTTTGCAAATTTTATGAAATTTGTATTATTCTAAGTATTTTAGTTAGCTATTTATGGTATATTTTAATTAAATTTTTATTTAAATTTAAAAATTCTGATTTTATAAAATATAATTACAAATATTTTAATATTTACTAAAACTTTTAATAAGTTTAATTAAATAGAACTTAAATTAAAAACTTTAAATTTTAAAGTATTTTTATTAAATTAGATTATGATTAAATGAAAATTTATAATTATACAAATTAAACTAAAGAATTATATAAGTTTTTTTTTTGAATTACTAGTATTTACTAATTAGAAATCAATGATTTTTTTAATTTATTAACTTAAATTAAGAGATTTAAATAATAATTATTTTATGAAAATTGAAATAATATTTATAAAAAAGTAATTACTTATAATAATAGGTGGTTAACATTACTGGTATTATGTGTATCATTGTACTATATGTATACATAATATAATAATCATGATAAATTAACTAATTTAAACTTTTTTAGCTTTTTTATCCTTTATCCTTCTTATACTAAATTATATCCTTTTTCTTTCCTTCCTCTCTTTTTATGACATTTGCCTCCTATACTCCCATTTTACATACTGTTTATCTTATTTTATATAAGTATGAATAGTAAGTATTATACTTTCTTGAGAAAGAAAGTTATATTTTATATTTCTGTTTTAATTTTTTTATTAAGGACAATTAAAATGAAATGAATATAGCAGATTTTCTATATGAAGAACAATAACAAAATGATAAAGAAAATGAAGAACAACAACAAAATAATGAATTTAAAACTATTCAAATTAATATAAGTAATATTTTTTATCATGAAAAGATACAAAAACAAAAATTAATCAATATGCAATATCACTTGAATTTTTCTTTACGTTATAAATATATTGAAACTAAAGATAAAATTGTATGACGTAGTATATTTAAATATAGCTTTTTTGGCAATCTGATTTTAACTCAAGTGATTGATATATCTCATAATGTCATTGACCATCTAGAAAAATTATGTACCTATGGTACATAAATCTCTTCAATTGTGTAATTTGCATCATATAAGTACTAATAATGCAATTAATCCATTTGATCTAAATTTATATCCTTACATACAATAGTCTCATAATACAAATACACAAGTGATGCAATATTTACAAAGTTTATCTGCATTAAAAACTCTTAATTCTAACGAAATATTTACTAATGAGAAACCCAATACTGATAAAAATAGTAACAAACGAAAATATATATGCAAAGTCTGTGAAGAACCTAATCATAATGCTAGAAAATGCACAAAGCAGCATTAATGATACAAAGCAGAGTCTGTTTAACTTATTATAATTCAAATATTCTTTAATTAGTTAGGCTCCCTTTGGTCACCATAACCTTATAAAAATATTTCACAGAATGTATTGCAATCCAAATTTAATACATACATCATGCTTTTTATTGATCTCAATTTGTTTAATTAGTTTGAAATAATACATTTTTAATTTTTTAACACTAAATTTAAATTTGATAGTATCACGTAATGCAATAACAATCACCTCCAGTTATAGTTAGAAAAATTCTTGCAAAAATGTTATATTTTTATTTTTTTAAATTTTTTTATATATGATAAATTATATAAATATGATATTATTTTAATTTGATTTTTTATTTTAACTTCAAAATCAATTTTCGATTTAATTTTTTAACTTTATATATAAATTAAAATATATATTTATCATAAAATAATTATAAATTGTTAAGAATTTTTTAGAATAAAATTTCATTTTAAAATTTTATGATTTTTAAAGCAAATCATTTATAGTTTCATTTTATATAACATAAAGGATTTCTAAAATCCATTTAAGTTTTGCAATATTTTTATTAAAGTTTACAGCATTGAAATATTATACTCTTAATCCTTTTTTCTTATTTAACATCTTTTTGAATGTTTATCATGCTATTTTCTGAGTTTCAACTGCTTTTGCTAAATGGAATAAGGTAAATGCATTCTTGTATTTTACCTGCTAAAATTTACATCCTTCTTGGAATTTAAACTTCTTGGATATCATCTTTCTACAATTGGTAGCAAAACGTAATTCATTATGTTATGCTACAAACACTGTGATATTGCGAGTTCTCAGATCTAAAGTAACACAAGCGATCCTTTTGGGTAACTACCACTTCTTTGATTCCTTTATTAAAAAATCAGATCCGAACAAGGCTAATACCACCAAGAAGTTTATGTTTTACAAAACAATTATATCTTGAAATCTGATTTAATCTTCTACATATGAACCCCAAAGAGGTTGACCGAATTTGAACAATATAATATTCAAAATGGTTTTCTTTCCATGGTAGTTGTTCAAAAGCCTTATAAAAACTTAAATGGGCAGATTCTGTTATTTAAAAAGACACATAAAAAACCTTAAACAATTGAGTGTTGCTATTAAAGAATGGTTGTGCTTGCCAAGTGCCTTTAATTAGAATAAAAGAAATCCTTATTTATGTTTTCATCATGCTTACGGATTTATCATGTTCCTTTAAAGGTGCAAGATTGGCAACTGAGAGTATCTGTGAGTATACCATATGAGTATTGTTTAAGATCAAAAATGCTCCGCGAATTGCTCTAAATCCTACGTTTTTTTTGTTTTTATTAACCAACAAAGCCGACAAACAGTCAGTCACCTATGAATTTATCATTATCTTTATAGTCAATTTGTAAAGTCTGTCCAATTCTAATAAAATAACAATTAGTATAACAACTTATATAAATAAAATCAGTATTTGATAACAAACCTGCGGTTGCGAAAAGGGGTTCTCCAGCTTTGTTTTCGCCTGTCAATATTTAATGATATAATTTGAAGTCAATTCATTAATTTTCTCCTGCAAATTTCAAACTCTGTAAAGTGACCGTGAGAAAAGCAGTTTAGGTTTGAAAACGCGAAATTGTTTAACTTGTCCTAAAAATTGGAATCAATGATAGAGACAACAGAAAGAAAAATCACAAGGTAGTTAAACAATATATTCTTTTAAGCAATCTGTTTGTTCATTACCTTTTTATTAAATTCAACTAATGCCTTTTGTAAATATTCACCTGTTCCCATTTATCTTCCAACTATTTCTTCTTGTTAATCATTCGCGTCTTTCCTACCTTCCTTTCCAAAGCTCAAATAGCCTCTCTTTCCAATTTTTCTCAAACTTCACCTCCGCTTCTTAACTTTTCATATGCGCTGTTTACTTGGTTTTTAATTTCGTTTTTTGGTTTGCTATTAAATCGAGTTTACGAGTAACGTGGTTTTAATCCCATCATAATTTGATCTAATATAATGAAGCTATAAAAAACTACATGGCCCGAGTTTATATTTATAACTAAATGATAAATGGGAAGATTGCTAGAAAATCAGGCTTTGGGAATTTTTTAACAAAATTCTCAGAGCCTGATTTTCCTAGCAATCTTCCCATATGACTTTGAAAGATTTGAAATCACACTTATAAATATTGTCTTTTCGTTCGAAAAGACATTCATATTTGAAATAAACTAAATAAAACTTATCATTATAAAATTATGTAAATTATTATTTATTTTTTTAAATTCTCCATCCCAAATCTAAGGTGTATTAAAAAAACCGTTAATTCTACTAAAATTTATCCTCTCTATATCAGTATCAGATAAGATCGTGAACGAATTTATACTTCGAATTATAGTTTATAAATAAATAAAAGATCAAAAACTTTGGTGATCCTATCAAAATTTTTTGTTGGATAAATTTCGGTTATTTATATTTAATAAATATTTTTTAATAAATATTTATAATATGACGTTCTTAGAAATGTATTTAATTTATCATACTTTTTAAGACTTGATGTTTGCACCAATTACATTCTGTGCGCATTTGCCACAAGAAGACTATTGTTTTATCACGTGAATTTCATTATCACTTAATTACGCAGTTTTTTAATTAGTCTGATATTATATATGAAACAAAATAGTAATGAATTTTGGCTGCAATTTTAAAATAAACTTTTCTGCACACTCACGCTCATATTAACCATGTTTGGGTAAATAAATAATCCCTTCCTTTTGATAAAATTAACATGATATGTTTTCAGAATGTTTGAAAGAAATAGATGAATGAACGTTCGAAATATGGAAGTTAGAATGTAAATGAAAAAAAAAAAAGAATCAATTCTTGATAGGAGATTTTCGAAAATTATATCTTCGTAATTTTTAATCATTGAATGATTAAAAAAGTAACTCTGAAAGAAGAATTTCCTGTATGTATTACTATTTGGTCATAAAATAATAAAAGGTTCTTTTCAAATAAAAATTATTATTTTTTTTTTTATTTTATTTTTTTTTGAAAGAATTATAAGATAAGGAAAAAAAAAAGTTTTGGCGTTTATAAAAGGTAATATGACGTTAAAGAATCTTTTTTATCGAAACATTTGATCCTCGTAAATCTCTCACGTGGGAGTTTTTTATAATGAAATCCCAAATTTTTATTTATTGATAATGCATGTTGTTCATCTTATAATCAACCTCCTCAAATATCGACTGTATTACTTGAACTCCAAAAAGATTGTTGCATATTAAAATACTGAAAATCATCGGGGGTTAATTTTGTTATGACACTGAACTTTTACAAACAAGAATTTTCCTGTAAAAAAAAAAAAATTAATAATAATAATAAATTTTTTTTTAAATATATATAATTTAATTAAAAAAGCTTAATCCAACCAAAGCCCCTGATTTTCTTTTATCCCACACACACTAAATTTTTTTTTTTTTTTTTTCTTCCGACTTTCTTTTTAATATATAAGCTGTGGTTTCTATTTATTTTTGGCTCACTTAATTCATAAGGTTTCTTTTGTAAAGGTCCTTTGAAATTCAGAAACTAATTTATTAATAAAATTACTTCAAGTTAAACCTGATAATTTTTTTTTTTGAATTATGTCCTTGCAAAAAAGACCTTTTTCACATTTTAGCATTCTTTTTGCGTTAAATTTACTGAACGCGCACACAAATTTTGCTCAGAGTAACGTTACAGGTATATTATAAACTTTAGCTAGAATAAATACTGTCTAGATATATATATATATATATATATTTTTTACACAACCCTCCCTCTTTCTTGAATATAGAATCAATAAATTGTTCTACTTTTACTTCCTGTGGAGATTGTACTAGTCGTTTGGAATGTGGTTTTTGTGTAAAGGTAAGTATTTTTTTCCCTTTACCTTTTAATTTTTTCGTTTCGTTTGTACTAATTATATCATATAAATAGGACAATTTATGCGTACAAGGTAGTTGGAATGAACCGTTCAAGAACTCAAGTTTATGCCTAAACGATAATTGGGAATATGAGTATGCTCAATGTTTTGGTAAGTGAACATCTATTTAGAATAATAACTTTTAAAACAATCTCCCTTAATCAAATCCGATCGAGAAATTAACTTTAGATATTTAATTTAAATCATGTTAAATGACAGTTACCCATAAGCAGGCCCTTATATCTTTAATTTCAGCACTTGTTGGAATACTATTTATTTCAATATTACTTTGTCTCTGTTGTTGTATTTGTCGATGTTGTAGAATAAGAGGTTCATCTGATGATGAAAGAACCCCTTTATTAGGTAATGATACTCTCGCAACACAACACTTTAGGCGCGCTTCCTTTTATAATTATAATCGAAACCGACCTTTTGAAAGAAGAGGTAGAACTTTGAGTTCTGGAACCGTCAATGCTATGCAATATGGTGGTGGTAGAAATTGGCGTAATGGTGCTGAAGAATATATGTATGGCTATGGAGCTCCTAATCAACCTTCAATGTTATGGGTGAATGATACTCCTGGCGTTCCAACTGATTACGCTATGAGCTCTCATAATAATAGTCTTGGCAATGGTGAATGGAGGAAATGGGAAAAGAAACGTGAAGAATTATTAGCTAAATATGCTAAAAATTCTTCTGAATGCTGAAATTTTTTTTTTTTTACTTGCGTTGAAGGTTCAAATTTTTTCTTTGTAAATTTTAAAAAAAATTTTAATTTTATCTTATTTATTTATTTAATATATGTATATATTATATATATATATATATATTATCCTTAATTTGATATATCATATCAAAGATTTTTATGTTAAAATTTACTGAACTTTTTGTATATTGTGCCATTTTTTAAGACAATTGATTTATTAAAACGATCAATTGTCTTCTCTGTTTATATATTTTAATTGCATCTATTTGATATTTATGCACAAAAAAAAAAAAAAAAAAAAAACTTTTTTTTTTCTTATCTTTTCTTTTCTTTATCTTTTCTTTGGTCGAATAACAAAAGGACATTTGGATTCATTACGTTGTATATCATCAATATCATCATTTCCTTCATATATAAAAATTTAATTTTCTTCTCTCAAAATAAAATTAACTTGGCTACCGAAATTTACGTTTGCAAATATTTTTTTATTAACTTAAAAATATATACTTTTTTTTTAAAAGTGGAAAAATTAATAATTCAATCTATAAATACATGAATAATTTTTTTTGATTTTTGAATGAGGTTAATCAGATGAGAAATTACTCACTCGATTAAAATTCTCTCACTTAATTAAAGTTTTGCTTCCAGTTTACCAGCTTTAACTGGTCTACTCATTAAATTAGTCATCACAACGACGTCAGCTGTGGTAGGTGCACCCACCATTTCAGCTAATCTTAAGACACGCGAACTTACTGTAGCATTATCTCTACGATTTTTCCCTTCTCTACGAAATTTACCAATCCTCTCAACTAGATCCCATAATTTACCCTTTGTTTCTATTGCTCCTTCTGAATTTCTTGTTGGTACATAGTCAGGATGTAACGCAACTGTTGGCATTACTTTTGTGTTTCGACTACGTTTTACCATTATTAGTCCCACTTCTTCCAACCTAATAAATGCATTTTTTAAAGTTTCCTTATTTATAGCTTCAAAATATGATAAATCTCCTTCATAATATAACGTTTTACCAAATAATTGACATTTATTATGAAAATCTCGTTCATTGAACCATGTAATAGGAACAGATTCTTTTGCTGCAGCTTTGTTTACATTTGTTGTTGTGGGTTGTGGAGGATTAGTTGGCGTCATCGAGAATAGACTGACGGCTGTATAATTATAATATTTCATGATTAAAAATTAATATACAACAAAGAATCATAAATTTTTTTCTAGTTCATATAACGTTACTTACCAGCTAACCAATATGTTTCAATAAAAGGCCATATTAGGAAGCAGTAAAAGTCTTGTGACATTAAATTAAATCGTATAGTTAATATTAAAAAAAAATTTTTTTTTTAAATATATAAATAAACCTTCTTACCATAATTCTCTCGTCCAATTGCTCTTTCCCTATCAGACAATTGAACATAACTATCTACGAGTTCCATGACTTGATCATCCTGTATGTTTATTTAATATTAGATAAATGAAACTTTATAATTACAATTATAAACAATTTTAAACATACTATTAATCCTTTGATCGTATTTTCCAAATTTGTATCGATCTCACCAGGTTGATATACAAATTCAACCTTTAACAACTGAGATAAAAATGCCACTTCATCCAAAAGTGTAGATATATGAAGTCGTTGTGTTGATTTTGCTCCCCCCTGTTTTATTTTTGTATACATTGCTGCAGATACAATAGCTTATAAAGTCGATAAAGTTTTTTAAAAAAAAAGAATTGTAATTTCCACACCATTGAATAGAAATACAAACATATGAACAAAGCACATACCTTCTGATACAAATAAATGCATCACCTTATTTAATATCAATGATAATTGAATTAGTTCTAATTAATATAAATAACATATACACCAAGTATATTTACCTGATTGCGGTAAAAACTTAATTCAAATCTTTTTTCTGCATAAAAAACTGGCTCCAGCAACTCTTTTCGTTCTTTAATCAAATCCTTTAATACATTGATCGCTCTATAGTTAAATTTCAATTAGAAATAATTGTACCTTATTATGTAAGAAATATGTTAACAAAATTATAATTTACCTATCAACGATGTCTCCAATGCTCATACCACTGAAATCTGCTACTCGTCCTCCCTTAGCTAAAATCGCGGCTCTTAACCATTCTACACGTCTAATTAACTCCTTTCTACCAACTCCCTATAAATGTTATTTGGTTAATTTAAATAATTATAAATTTATCGTTAATTAAGGACTAGTCAACCTAAGAACTTACTCGACCACGTAACGTTAATATTACGGTACCAACTTAAATAAATAATTATTTTAAATCGTTAGAAAAATACATTGATACTATATCCATCAAATATATATATATATATATATACCAAGAGCAGTCGGCATTACTACCGAAACGGAATTCTAATTATTGTTATTAATGGTAAGATGATTAACATTAAAATGCCACACGATGACTTCCTTAATAAAATTTTCTAATGTAGGTCAAATACTCACAATGTCTGACATAACCCTAAAAACGATTCGATATTAAATAAGTTGGTATGATGTATATTATCAAAACAAAAAAAAAAATAAAAAGTCAATGGATAGATTTATTATGTGATAATACATACTGATAGGCAAGGGCTCTCAACAAAGTAACTTTTTGCTGATCATTATTTGGATCAAAAGACCTGCAGTATTTCAAAATGTGAATTACTCTTTAAATACCGAAATAAATAATGTAAATTAGACAATTACTTTCTCCTCACAATCTGTTCTTCAATAAACCCTTTGAGCGAATATGGCTTGGCAAATCGCACTAAAAAAGATTTTATATAAATCAAATGTTGATAAATTAACATTCTGTATAAAAAAAAACGGAAAATTATAAATAATATGTTACCATCAATTCGACCCCATTTAAGCTGTAATAATCTTGTATTGGTGACTATACCCCATAAACTTTCTCTCTCTTTGGGATTTCCTAACAGTTCATTAACATAGGTTTCCGTCTCGATTACTTTATCATATTGAATGGACATAGGAACAATCCAACAATCTTTTGCCCTTTCCGAGAGTATGCATTCTAATATAATTTTTAGAACACCCAACTTTGGTGGTAGCAATTTTCCAGTTCTACTTCTTGTACCTTCTATGAAACATTCAACATTATGACCACGTTCCAATAAGCCCTCAACATATTCTTTTACCACACTACCGTATAGTTGATCTTCTCCCCAAGAACGCCGAATATAAAATGCACCACCTTGCTTAAGTATTCTACCAACAATTGGTAGATCAAGATTATCGCCTGCGGCAATATGTGGAAGAGCAAGTCCCAACCGGAAAAATATATATGATATGACGAGATAATCAATATGAGATTTGTGACATGGAAGGATAATAAGAGATTGTGAATTTTGAGCAGCAATAACAGCTATTCGACGAATCTAAAAGGTCAAATAAATCATACATATATGATATATGTTATTTGTTATAAAGAAAGTATTTTATCGAAACATAAAAGTTTAATTGATCTTGCCTCAAGAAACTCGCGTTCTGATATGTGAATTCCTTGATGATACATTCTTACTAGTATATTATTTACAAAAAAGCCGAAAAGTCTAAAAAGAAAAAACAAAGATGAACACTTCCCTTTTAACGCAATTATTAAATTGGTCGAGTTATAACAAACCTAATAAACCGCAAACTATTAAGGTCTGCAACTAATTTATCAACCATCCCATTTGCAACAGCTTGTAATTCCTTTTCTAGTAATTTTTTCCTTTTTGCAATCATCTTTGATGTAGCATTTGGTATTGATTGTGCAAGTTGGTTGGCCTGCTTTTCGGCCAGATAAGCAATCATGTAAAGAACTACATTATAATTTAATCATTATTATATGTTAATTATAGATGTAAAATATAATGCAGACTGTTGTTTATAATTATTATTAGTTTTACCGCGTTCACTATTAAGAACCCGTTCCTTTACTTCTTCTGTATATCCCTCGTATAATATCCTTGTTCCTATATAATTTTTGTAACTTCTCCAACCCTATAATTCAAAATCAAAACGTTAAAATTGCTTAATAGTTGATCTATCAATCGAGAGCAAAAGATCAGACTTACCGTTCCTTGATAGAAGGCGCCCATTTGTATCATAAAAGCTACCGGATCATCGCGAAAGTGACCGGGGTGATGTCGTCTAATTTTAGTTGATAATACCAAAAATCGTAATGGATAGTTAAATTTTTATTAAAATGGATCTATAAAATTTGTTACAATTTAAAAATAAAATCTTATGGAGTTTAAGCGGCAACGGTTTTAGGACACGTGTGACAAGATTTTTCTTTTTTTTTCCTTCACTTATGTAAGGCATTACAAACTCACGTCAGGTTTCTTTCTTCAGCACTCCCGGTAATTCCAGTAGGTTGTAAAACTATTTCTTTGGGTTTCTCCTCACTGACAAGTGACGGTATTGGAGGTGAAGTATCAGTTGAAGTAATTTTAGCTTTTTCAACTTTCAAAGACGACATTGGCTCGTCTTCAATAGGTGCAAAAGGCAGAATTATTGGTGGATCGACTTTAGATTTTTCCTTGCACATTTGTTTAATGTAAAAAGTATGGGAATTAAAGATTCTCAAAGGTTGATTGTTCCGAGATCCTGGTATTGATGAAAATAATCGTACATGATGTTACACACAAATAATTGTAATAAGGTTTTTCTCTAGGTCTAACGCGTTATGCGTTATATCAAGTTACAAGATAATCAAATGTTCGAAGATTTATTTGGAAATTTTCGGCCGGTGCTACAAATAGACCACGCACGAACAACATTATAATATGCCAATATAGGCCAAAGTGATGATTCTATTATTCGGTAAAGCACGTTAGAATAAAGTTAAAAATGGTTCTAGTTTAGAATATTAATCAAGCTCTGTCAATAAACACATTGTAAATTATTTAACTATCCTTAAAGAACAGAAAGTCATTCAATGAAAGTAGTGATAAGGTATAGAAGAACATTTTTAACTTTGATGCCTTTACCACATAAGGAAGCACAAATTGAACATACCGACATTGAAGTTCAGTGAAAATTTTATCATCTGATATTACTACTTTTGTTTCTCTAATACCTAGGTATTCACCTCATAATAAAAATATATGATACTTTTTATTAGTCATTTACATAAAACAAACATTTATAATATGTAACAAATTTAAGTAGTTATTGATTTTAATAATATTTAGCTTATAAAGTAAAAAGAAAAATATTTTTTGGTAGTTTCCTCATTTTCTACTGCAAAACGTTCATATAATATTAACCAAAAGATAATATTATTTTCTATTAGCTATTATATATTTTAATAAAAAATATAATAACTGTTATTCTATAAAATTACTTTTACTATTTAAATATACAAGTATATATACTAATATATATATAAAATTAATTAATTAATTAATATTAATTATGCTTAAATATTATAATATATGAAAAAAGAAAGCAAATAAATTATAATAATTTAGGCTTTACTAATAAGTATACAATAAATATTATCTCATATGGGACATACTGCAACAAAACCAGATAAAGTGAACATTGGGATTACCAAAGAATTTTAAAGATCAAAATTTAGTCTTTTCATAATGTGATTATAATTATTAACAGTTTTATAATATCCCATTTATTATCTTAAGTGATATATAGAATTACTTCTATATAAAAATAGTTAAACTCATTTATATCAAATCTACTATGGAGCCCAAAAATTACAACACCATTAGAAGTATTCTAAAAAAGAAACAAGGTGAAAAAATCGCTTCTTACATTTTTAAAATAAATGATACTCAGATACTGGAAGCTTATCTAAGAAAAGAAAGGATTACTTATGAAATTTACCAAGAAAAAAAAATAATAAATATTGAAAAAAAAAAGCATCATGATGATGTATTATTACCTAATAAAAAGCAAAAATCTTTAAAAGGAAAATAAATACCATTTCTTTGATAATCGAAATAAATTAGTCTATACAGAGAAAATTTTCCTCAATTATTTTTTTATTTTCAATCAAGATCATCTTTGACTTCAATTTGAGCAATTTGACTATTTCGTTGATCTTTTAATTTCCTGTTTTCTTCTTCTAGATAATTAATTTTCTCTTTTAAACTTTTTACCTTATCTAATAACTCTTATTTTTATTTTTTACTTCACTCTTTAGATTTTTCTTAAAATTTGACTACTTCTTTTCTTTTAACTTCTAGGATTACCTCTGCAGTGACTAACTCTTCTTTTAAAGAATTTATTTGCCTTTTATAAAAAGCAGACATACTTTCTCTTTCCTAAAGTAAATTGGAAAGTTCCTTTTCATTTCCTTTTTCTTTACAATCACAAGTGTATCTAGTCTTTAATTTTCCATAACTACACTTACACAACTTATTATTTTCAAACTTTTCTTTACAACTCTCACAAACTTTATCACTTTTAATCATTTCACCAGTCACTTTGTTTTATGTTCTGATTTAGCATATTGCTTTTTTTAAACTAAAGCAAAAAACGCAAGTAAAATTGCTACTATATCATTTTTCTAACTTAAAGCAAATTAATTAACTTTTACTTCTATTTGAGTAGTAAATTCTTGGGGTTTGATGTTTTTTTATTTTTTACCAATTGTTGAAGTTTTTGGAACTTTGTTTTAATTTTTAAACCTAATTTTTAAAAAGTATTTTATTTTTTAAATAGAGCAGGTAAGGCTTTTTTTTTCAAATATATCTAACTATTTAGTTCCTCTTCTCCTTTTTTACTTTTTGCTAGCATTTTTGATTTCTTTTCTAACTCCTCTTGTAATTTTGTATTCTTTGCTATTTCTTCTTCAAGCATTTTACCAGCTTTTTGTAATATTAATGCTTATACTTTGATTTTATCATTCAAAAGCCCTTTTTGTCAGTTTTTTTATTTTTTAGCTATATTAATTGCCTCAATTAGAACTTTAGAAGTTTGATATAATTTTTCAATAACTGTGAAAATAACTTTATTTAAATTTTCTCCTATTCTATTTATTAATTCTTTTAACTTTTCTAAGTCTTAGTTATGAATTTGCTCATCTTAAAAAATATCATCAATCTCTTCTTGTTTCTTATATCAAACTGATAAGATTTCTATAAGTTTTGTTTCTAATTCTTTAATTTGCTCTTTATACTTGTTTAATTCTTTTATTTTCTCTTTATGCTTTTGTTTTTGTTCATACTTTTGAGCATTTAAACTACTGATTGTTGAAAAACTTTCTGAATAACCTAAAGTTAATTCATTTGAGTAATCAATAAAACCATCTAACATCTTTTCAATGGTAATATTATCAAATCAAATTCTTTTACAATTTTTGGCTTATTCTCTAGTTTCATTAGGATCTACTGCCATTCTTAACTTTCCTTTATCTAATCATTTCTTATTTCATTTCTTGTATTATCATATTCCCTTAAGAGCATACATACTAACTTCACCATTTTCATCAATAGACTGACCAGTGACATGTCAGATTTTTAGTTTAAGATTTTCTTTTTTATCTGTTAATTGCTTTTTAAATTTTCATTTTTTTCTAATAATTGTTTATTTCTCTCTTAGAGTATATTTATTGTATTTATCATGATTTTTTTATTATTATTATTCTTTTAATATACTTATATCTTTTTTATAAGGGCATATTAAGTATATAAATTATTTTAGTACTTTTTTACTTTAAAACTAACATTATTTGTCAAAAAATTAAACTTATTATACTTAATGATTTTATTTGTTGTCAGTATAGAATGATCTTAGATAAGTAATATCTTTGTATTCATTTTTCACAAATAGGTAAATATTATTATAAAGGTATTCTTGTCTTTTATAGTTCAAAGAAGGTGGTGTTAATATTAAAATAGATAAAACTCTAATTTCTTCAAAAATATCTGTTTTCCTGGTTTTCAATAAATTGAATTTAGTAAAAAATCTATTAGCAATTTCCTGAACTTTGACTATGCCAAAATTAGATGCTTCAAAAAATAAATGTTGATATTTCTAGATGCTTAGTAATTTTTTAAAATAAATTCCTAAAATTGCTTTAATATCTAAGTATTGAAAGCCTTTTCCACCTTCATAACATTGAGTTTTATTTAATCCTGTCAGACTAGATCTTTTCATCACATCAACCACATGATTCAGACAATCTATTCTTATTTTCCTATAAAGCTTTTTAATCATTATAAAATTACCATCATATTTGAATTTAGTATGTTCAGAAATCATAAAATTCAATTCAATACTTTCATAATAACCACAAATTACTAAATATAGGTAAAACTAAATTGTTGCATTATTTTTATTCTGTCTATTAGTATTATTACAAGTAGTGTTGGCATTGAACTTATTCTAATACATTCAATTAGACGATTTAGACAATTAGACAATTAGATATAGTTCAATTGTATTCAATTGTCTAATTGTCTAATTGAATGTTGTTGGAATTGGACTATGTTCAATTAATCAATTAATCAATTAGACTCAACAATTGAACTTAGTTCAATTAAGTAACCAATTAAATTAATTTATTTTTTTTTCTTTTAGATTAGTATTTTTTTTTCAATTAGAGTGTTTTTAAAAATGATTCTTTTTATTTATTAATTCTTTTTACATCTAACACAAATAAAAAATAATAATTTAATATTTTTTAATTCACTAAAAACTAAGAAAAGCTTACTTATCTGAAGAGAACAAAAGATCCGTTCCTAAAAAAAGAAGAAAGTGAGTTAGTAAAAAAGAAGAAATATTTATAAGAATCCCTTAAAGAACAAAAGACATATCTTA